GAACACGGGTGTGCAAGTACCTGCCCGAGTCCCTGCTTTCCGTTCTTTCAGGTGCACACCCAGAAGTGGAGTTGCTGGATCCTATGGGAATTCTATGTTTAATTTACTGAGGAACCACCATGTGTTATCCACATCGTTTTACTGCAGGCTCTGTGTGTATTTCGCCCAGCTCAGAGGCAGAAGAGCCCCTCTCCTAATGCCCCAGGAGGTCCCCAGTGACCCAGGAGACTAGACTAAAGAGACCTCACAGCAAACCACCTGCACACTCAGATTGGATCAGCCCGTCCCCTGAATTTCCTCGCTGGCCCCCCTCCTGGTGTCTCCTCTCCCCAGCCTCTCACCACCACCCCTCTCAGCCATCAAGCCAAGCTAAGGACGTCTCCTCTTGCAGAACAGTGTTAATTACTGCCTTTAACTACTTAATCCTGCCCTTGGGGATTCACCTTGTATCTTAAGAAACAACCTAAGAAGCATTCCTGTCTGACGGGAGGACACAAACCTGAGTTAGCTACAACCCAGCAGAGACCACGAACACAGTTATTGCAAGAGGCCACTGGTCCTCTGCGCTGCCCTCCCCCAACCCCCCACCCCCGCCCCTTCATGTGCTTTCTCCCCTGAGGGGAACCAGCCCTGCGTGCTCACAGTGATGCAGTGACATTCCTTCCCCTCTCACCAAGCTCCGTACCCTAATTACAGGACTGCCGGCACTACGGCACTACGGCACTACGGGCTACACCTCTGAGAATGGGGATTAGAAGTCGGCACGTCCTACAGTTGAGCCTTTGCCAGGGAACGCACTGAATCCACGCTGAGAGTTGAGTCACTGGGGCCGGCTTCTCAGGTTTTTTAAAATAAAGTCTTAAAATTGGGAGGCCCTGGCTAGTTGCCATATCCTGCACCTTGGTCTAGGAAGAAAAGACTGAAGCCGTGAACCACTTACCTTTATCTGACAGGCATTGTTCAGCTTACTTGGCGTATTACTTACCACCTAATTTTGCTTCTCTCAGTTCTTGGAATAAGCATTATGCCTTTTCTGTAGATGTAGAGACAGAAATTCAAGGAACATTAGCGACTTGCCCAAAGCCACACGGCTGCTGAGGAGCAAGGTGCAGTCTGAACCCAGATTCTAAGCCCAGAGCCATGGATGTCCCACGTCTGCTGCCTCTGGGACCCAGCCTGCTCCAGGAGGACGGAAGTCGTGGAGAGGCCCCCAGCTCTGGGCTCTGACGGCCCTGCTGTGACCCGAGTGCCACTGTGTATGGCTCCTTGACTTCTCCGAGTTGGCCTCCCCAAACACAAAACAGATCAAATCACCTCTCCCTCAGAGCTGTGGGAAGACGCAGTAAATAATGTATGGAAACTGCCTGTGACGTGATGCAGCAGAAGGTGGGGCTGTGTTGTCATCACTGCCCAAGTGTCTCCATGGCAGAAAGGAGAGGAAGAGGCAGGAGTGGTCCACCCCCAGACCCGGCTCTCCGTGACCACCTTCGGGAACCACTGCCCCCCCCCCCACAGGGTCGGCAAAGACACGCATTCACTAAAGCTCCCTGAAAGCACTTAATTTATAAAAAGCCTCTCAGCTGCAGGAGCCATGAGGACATGGTGCTAAGTGGAATTAGCTGGTCACAGAAGGACAAATACTGTAGATTTTACTCATATGAGATCCCCAAAGCAGTCGAATTCATACAGACAGGATAGAATGGGGGTGGCCAGGGCCTGGAAGGAGGGGGAATGGGAGGTGGTTGGTTGATGGGACAGGGATGTCAGTTTTACAAGATGAAAAGCATTCTGGAGCTGGATGATGGCAACAGTCACACGGCAACATAAGTGAGATCAATGTCCCTGAACTGTACACTTTAAAATGGTTAAGATGGTAAGTTGTATGTTATGTGTATTTAACCACAGTTGAAAAAAGTTCTAGAGACAATTAAAAAGCCTCCTAGCCTTGTGCCTTTTGCTTAGGTTTCTTCAGAGGCGGTGGGAACTTTTCTCTACATGCTTATAATCAGGTTACCTCTTAAGCAGGGATTCAAATTAGTGTTGAAGATGTAAAGTCACCCTCAGAAAACCCCTGTGTGGCCCGCTGAGTGGGCGAGGATAGAGCTAACACTGCCATTTTTTCTTGCAGTGTTAGGACAAACACTGTTTCTTTGAGCATCAAATGAAATAGTTGGTTTATGTTCAGGGGTCATAACAGAATATACATTCTAAGAGACTCCTGGGCTGGGACACTTACATGGAGGAGCCCCCACTATCAGGCCCCCTCTCGCGCTGGAGCACAGGCAAGCTGAATGGCCCTTCTGCAGCCCGGCTGTGAGTGTGGTTTCCTTTATCTCCTTTCGCTCGTGGAGAGTGCAGAGTGCATCCCAGCTGCTTGAGTACGGGAGGTGGCTCCGCCCAGGTGGCCTCTGTCTAGTCAAAGGAAACTGGGCAAGTGCCTTCTTATCATGACTCTGCTCAGCTGACTCTGATGGGTTTTAAACCCTAAATTGTCCTCTGACCTTTGACCAGATCTATTGGCCGTAGAAGAATGGCCCCTTCTCCCCAACAGGCACCCACGGGCAGGCCGCATCTCACAGATATTCCCAGACACCTGCTCAACCTGAAAGCTCCAACTTTAAAGGACTTTTTCAGACCAAAGATCCAATTCCTGAGGCCAAAATTCAAATATAAATCATAGAGTTCCTAGCTTTTCGAAGAGATCTATCTTCAAATTATAAAACACTGCCAAAGAGGAGTGATCTGAGTAAAACCCCCAGAGGACCTTATCACACAAAACAATGCGTGTGAGCTGGCCCCGTCCTGCACACAGACTTGACCGCTGTCCCCTTCAGAGGGTTCAGGTGGCACCCAGTGCAGCTCCAGGCGGGGCTGGGCCCCGGACAAAGGGATGAATGGCCGGCGGCCCCGCGTCCCTTTGACGCCCTAGGTGAGCGTCATTAGTCTGGCGCTCACCTAGAGCACAGGTTCTTGCTGGCAGTAAATTTAAGCTGTCATGCCTCAGGATTGAAGTGGAGGCTGTAGACTTTCACCCCAACTCTTCCATTAAATACTGTGCTATCACCAGATAAAACTTTCCATCTTGATTTTTCTCATCTATCATTGGAGGAGATCTATAGACGTACATGAAAGTGAAAGAAAAAAAATGAAATGCTTACCAGCGAAGTCGCTCATTTTTCTACCCTGCCATGCACTTGATTTCAAATCTCAAAAGTGTGCAGAAAGTGAGACCATTTGGATTTATTTATATAACCACAGGGAGGGCCCCTCTGGGCCTCACGGTTGATTTTTCTACATCAGTTTGCCTCCAAGCAGCAGGTGAGTGACACGGCTGACACACACAAAAGGCACAGAAACACCAAACAATAACCACTTGCAAACACAGGCAGAGTGAAGGGTGATAAGAAGTCAGGTCCCGTGTCAAGCAGGAGCAGCTTCGACCTTAGAGACAGAGTGTCCGTAATGGGGAGCTCTCTGCACTAGGAGCCTGGAGGGCCCATGAGCTCTAGCCCCACCACTGCCACTGCACAACACAGCACAGCATGGAACTGAGCAGCTCACTGGAACTCCCTGGGACCTACAAAACACTGCAACTGTCCTGCTGGTGCCTCAGGACTGGCTGCGCGCTTCCAACAAGGTTAGCATGTAGACAAGTTACGGAGATGGCACCTGCCAGGCCAGGTGAGGAGTTATCATCACATCCCTCCCTAACAGAAAACACTGACGTACTAGAAATACCATGAACCTCCAACTAGGTCCCTAAGCACAGAATTCACTACATACCGTCCACTCCAACTCTGCCTGGAGAGGCAGAAGAACTTCATTGCCTGCAGTTTGGGTTCCTGAGTCTGATAGTCTGAATGTCTGACCCCAGCTCTGCCATGTATGAGCTTTGTGGCTTGACAGAGCAACTCACTTTGCCACGCCTCTGCCTCTTCATATGCAAATTGTGGAAATAATGGTAAAATTACTTGACAGAATTGTAGAAGGTTGCCTGTTGCATATTAATAACCCCTGTTATGGACTGAACATCTGTGTCCCCCCCAAATTTACATGTTGGGGCCCTAACCCCCAATGTGATGGTATTTGGGGGAGCCTTTGGGAGGTGACTAGACTTGGAGGTCATGAGTGTACAATAGAATAAAATAATAGAATTCTAGTGTCCCATAATGGACACTGGCTCCCATAATAGAATTAGTGTCTTTATAAAAAGATAGAAATCTTTCTCTCTCCATCTTGGGAGGACACAGTGAGAAAGGGGCCATCTGCAAACCAGGAGGGGGGTCCTCACTAGGAATCGAATCAGCCCACAACTTGATCTTGGACTTCCTGACCTCTGGAACTGTGAGAAATAAATGTCTGTTGTTTTAAGACACCCAGTCTGCGGTATTTTGTATAGCAACCTGAACTAATACATAGCCAGAGAACTTAGAACAGTGTCTGATTTATAGTAAAAATTCAATAAAAATTAGTGTATATTTATGTTTTGCTCCTTGGAAACTTTATTAAGAAATATTGCAGACATTCTAAAATGTCTCAAGAATAACATGACCGCATACCCACCACCCAGCGTAAGGTGGGACACGTTACCGACACACGTCGAAGCCCTGGTCCACCTCCTCTAATCATACTCTTTCCTTCCTGCCCAGAGGCAACCCTGCTCCTGAAGTTGGTGTTTATCATTCCCAGGCTTTTCTTTAGACTCCAACGGCATCTGTACGTATCTGTAGACAATGAGACTGGGCTGAAAACACCATTAAGCCAGCACTGACGTGCACTTCTTCCAGAAGGATTCAGACGTAGCATCTAACTTAGCACTAAGTGTTGTTTGGCAAGCCTGTCCTCACTTGCCACCCCACTACGTGTGCCCTCGCACTTCCCTGAGCTGGCAACGTGCTCATATCTCCAAGTGGACCCATTGATGATGCATATCGTGAGTTAGGTCTCCTATTAGCAGCCAGTGCCCTGGCTCATTGCTGATGTCCCCTCTTCCCTTCCAGATGGAGATGAGGCTGCAGGACCAGCAGCTAGCCAGACAGCTCATGCGCCTGCGCAGTGACATCAACAAGCTGAAGATCGAGCAGACCTGCGACCTCCACAGAAGGATGCTCAACGACGCCACCTATGAGCTGGAGGAGCGCGATGAGCTGTCAGACCTCTTCTGCGACTCCCCGCTGGCCTCGTCCTTCAGTCTCTCAACACCACTCAAGCTCATTGGAGTCACCAAGATGAACATCAACTCCCGGAGATTCTCCCTCTGCTGAGAAGCCCTGGAACCAGGCAGAGGAGCCAGAACTGGGGGGTTGGGAGGCAGGGAGGAGGCGTGATAAGGGGGTTGAGACCAAGTTACCCCAGAGGCAGGACTTCCCTGAGACCGGTGAACCCTGGACCCCCAGGACCTGTCAGCAGGTGATCTCCCCAGGGCCCCAGTTTCAGAGCTCGACATCCCCATGACCAGTTCTCACCTAATACCCAAAGAGTCCTGCAGAAGGGCCACCCCACCCAGACGTCCAATGAGACCTGGGTTGCCAGCGTGACACGTCTCAGTACCCCCCTCAGTGACCCATATTCTTGTTTCCTGGAATCACTGGTGCTACGAGAACTGGGATCCCAAACGGAGGGCCCCAAAGCCGTGATTCTTGCCAAAGGCTTCCCCACAGGCCCTGAGCCACCAGGGAGAGGTGACTAGATGTGTCAGATGTGCCCACCTTGCTGTGGCTGTCCTCTAAGTACTGGCTCGAATTGACCCTAAATAGGTGACTCAACAATCTTGACAGGGACCCACCAGAAAAGGAAAACCAAAAGGATACAATGTAAGTTGTATCCATCTTGTGCCAGAGTAGTTTGGGTGGAGCAAGCACAGACACCCTCTGTTGCCTGCCTGGCCACAAGCACCAGTCCCAACCTCCAAAGAGTCCCTTTGCCATCACCCCACCACCCTGGGGGCGTGCCTAGGAGACCACTGGTGACTGACCAGGCAGCTCTGTCAGTGAGTTTCCCGTAACTGAATTCTCCCCGGGGCCAGCCAAGGCCTCCTGGTGGATTCTGACAATGTCACCTGTGTCACCTCCTTGTCCTTCCCAGAAAAACTCGAGGGAGCCCAGACACTTGCCCTGAGCTCTTCCGAGATTCTGTGCCTAATTTAAATGACTAATTTTAATTGAATCAGACTGTTACTAATCTGTTACTAACCTGTTAATAACTGTTTGATTTGTCCAAATGGCGAAGCCAGATGGGTAGATGAAGTACAGAGGTTCAGGATTTTATTTTAAAAGGTTCTTCCTAGTGCCAGGCATGAGGATCAAGAAGGTGAGAGCTGAAGCCTGAATGGGTGAGGGAAGTTAGCCTGGGAGAGTGCCACGCGTCAGCGTTCCCTGACAGCTGGCAGTCTCTGACCTTTGATGTCATCCGGCCGAGGCCTCTCCTTCACAAAGGAGTACAGTGAGGCCAAGGAAGGAGAGAATGACTTCCCTCTGGCCACACAGCTCATTAGTGGCCATAGAATATTGATGTGTTAAATCATTATTGATAATGCCTGGACAGATCCTATAGCAATGAACTTGAACTCCAAAGATGGTCCTAAATGCTTTGCCAAACCCTACAAACTGCCAACCTCTACTCTCTGCCTCATTCAGCCCCACTAGCACCTCCCATTCTGCAGTTCAGAATATTTGGGTCTCACTCAGAGCAATGTCTGGACAGCAGGCCCACAGAACACACGTTACCAGTCACCCATAGTCGAGGTAAGCTGTCCTGCTGCTCTGACGTTCCCGTTTCGTCTTCCCATATAATCTCACTGGGGCACACGCGCATATGCGCACGCGCACACACACACACACACACACACACCACCCCAGGACCCACACTGGGAAAAGGTTGTTTTTCTTCTATGGCCTGGGAGTGGAAAAATGCAAATGAATGGTCTCTAGTTCGACAGAAAAGAAGTTGGTCTGTTCCTCGTGATTTCAAGGAGCTGGAGGGTGTATGCTTTCTTCAAAGAAGTTTTAGCCATGTGGCCAAGTTTGCTTTGGCCCAACACTGAGCAGTGACAGAGGTCTGAGGCCCAGTGCACTCATTTGTGGAGACCTCGGAGGATGGCCAGCCCCCTCGGGCAGGAAACGAGGGAGATTTTTTCTACTCAGTGATTTCTCTGCTTAGGAATCCGCACAAGCACTGCCTGGGCCCACAGAGGCATTGCTGCCAGCCTTCTCCCAGACGCGCCCCGAGGTCGTGCGGTATCAGGAGGGCCTGCGCATGCTCACCACACCCCCTGTAGACACACGTACACGGGAAAGCTCATTCCATACTTGGGGAAAAAAGGCCAACCTGGCTTTGTTTCTTTCTAGAAATTAGTCATTGCAGTAACCAAAAAAGTTGGAATCAACTACAGTTGAATGATTTAGTTGAATTTCATCAACCCTATTGAATTGGAGTCAGCTGGGCAATTTAGTTGCTCAGTTGTCCTAATACTTACTTCTCCCCACACCCTTCTTTTTTTTGTTTTATGAGAGTAAACTGAGTTCAAGGCCCACTTTTTTTTGCATAGGTGCGATATCTCAGCTATTTTGCTTGGTTCATCCTCAGAGAACTTTATTTTGAGATAAGGAAGAAGGAGAACGAGGAGGAGAACCAGAGAAGAGAGCTGGAGGGGAACAGACAGGTGTGTTTTCCTACTCGCTGTCCAGTGTCTGTTATTTCTGTTGTTTCCACAGTCAACACAAATAATTACCCAAGTCAGTTCAGCCTGTGAAGTCCCCACTTTGTGTGGGTCAAGAGATGCCAGCTCCCCAGAAAAACCTTATGGCTTACCACGTGTATACGATACTGTCCTCAGTTTTACTCACTGTCGACTGTCTCCCTGCCCTCCCCAAGGACCCCTGGGTGTAAATCTCAAAGTCTCCATTGACACTCCCGTGTTCAGCAACATCTGATGCCTTCACGGGCCCCGCCGAGGTCACAGAGGCCCGGAGGGCCGGCCCCAGGCCTCCTCCTCGTAGCAATACCAAGTGCTATTACACAATTGATGGACAATTGCTAATTTTATTTTTTATGATTATTTGTTTCTATACTGATGTTAGAAAAAGTGAAATAAAAGAGTTTCAAAAGAAGATACCTATCTCAAGAGGAGAAATTTACTTCATTTTAAATTGTTTCTATTATAGCACAGGGCTGAGCATTTACCTAAAAAAAAATAAATAAAAGAATGAGAAAGAGAAAGGAAGGAAAGATTTGAGCAGTCACCCAGTGAATGGAGAAAAAGGTTCACCCCAGTCATTCTTTTCCCTCTCTGGTGCCTTCCCCCAAGGGGCTGCCCGTGGGCTTCCCAGTGTGAGCTGAGTGAGCTCAAGGCATGGGACTAGGAGGTGCAGTCATCATCCTGAGCTTCACCAAGGCTGGTGCCGTGCTCTCCCACAGTGGTCCCTCTCGGAGGTGGCTGGTGGAGTCCAGAGCATTTGGGTCAAACTCATGGTAATGCCTGGACAGTGGAACCACAGGACATCCGTTTCCAGTCACAATCCCATCGTCGAAGCGTGGTGCTCAGCATTGCCATGCTCTGGGAACCTGTGCTTTGGACTTTCTCAGCCTCTTGGAAGCAGCAGTCCTCTAAATGAACGGGTATGAGGATCACCTGGGGCGCCTGTTGCCAAGGCGTATTCCCAGGAAAACCCCTGGGCTCCACCCCAGGGGGCAGCTGCTCGCCTCTGGCATGGGGCCTAGGAACCTGTTTTTAACAAACGCCCCTGGAGACTGACACAGGCGGCTCACAGACCTTCGAGAAACCTTCCAAAGGACAGAGTGGGCAATAGGGGAATCACTCCTATGTCAGGGGTCTCAGGAGAGGCCTATGTCAGAGGTCCAAACAGGTGATATAATCCGTAGCAAGAACAGCTGAAAAGAAGTTCTCTGTAGACCCTTATGATTATGTCACCTGTCTACAACAAGACCATGAGTGACTAGATCTGTTCCCTGAAAAGTGAGCCCAGTACGAGTTAGGAGGGCAGGGGCAGAGTGGGCCCCACTGGCTGTGTGGTTCAGAGGGCACTCAGGAAGGCACTGGGCCTTTCCACCCCACAGGTGGGACCACACACACACTTCTTTCACCCCAAAGGGAAAGTCCTCTAATTTGGCCTCCAGGTAAATTAATTTTTTAAGTGCCACAGGGAAGATAAAATGGGGTGACAGCATCAGCGTCATCAGGTGGGAGGGGCTGCTGTACCACATGGTCAGGGCTGGCTTCTCTGAGAAGGTGCTACTTTGGCTGCAAAGGCCAGCATGCAAAGATGGGGAAAGAGAGGGTTCTGGGTGGAAAAACAGGGAGCAGATTCTGAGGCGGGAGGTGGGAGGGGTAGTGGTCTGCCAGGGGCTGGAGTGCTGAGCCATGGGGAAGATGAGCTGTCGATCTCGTCAGCCTCATGTTGTCATCAGTGAGGAGTCTGCGTTTTATTTGGGTTGCACAAGAAATGTTTCAAGATTTTTGAGCAAGGAAGTGCTATATGACTTGATTTAAATGTTAGCAAGATTTATGTAGAAAGTAAGGGGGCGTGGGGCAAAAGTAAGGTGCAGAAGAAAAATTAGGAGGCAGTTACTGTAGATGGAACAGTGACAGGAACTCAGATAGCATCTGTGGATGGGGCGACAAATGCTCTCATTTGGGGTTCACTTTGGGACATGTTTTGGAGGGGAAGCCAACAGGAGCCCCTGAGCGTCTGATATAGAATCCAAAGGAAACAGCAGCTGGATGGAGAGGGGCTGCCATTTACTGAGATGGAGAAAGTGTGAGGGGACCATGACCAGGGGTAGGTGGGCGGCATCAGTGGCTCTATTTTGGCCATGTTATATTTGAATGTTGATTAGACATCCAAGTGGGGGGTGAGTGGCTGGTTGGATGTAAGATCTGGGCGTCAGGGAAAGGCCAATGTTGGAGACATAAATTTGGGAATCTGGCTTTGGGTGTTTGGATACTATTAAAAGCCCCATACCTGGATAAACTCTATAAAGAGAATGTAGACGTGAGGAAAGGGGCTAAGGAAAGCATCCTGCGGCCTTTCTCGAGGCCTGATAGAGAAGGGGTCGCAGTCAGGAGACTTAGAAAGAAGAGCCGGCCAAGTAGAAGAAAATCCAGACAAAGGGGGCACCCAGGAGCCTTAAAGACAATATTTCGTGGAGAGTCATCAACACTAAATGATGCTGAGAAATTGGGGAAGAAGCAGACAGGGATAAACGGGTCTCGGCAGATTGGAGCTAGTCAGTCATTTATTACAGGGGTAAGCACAGATGTCCAGTTGTGTGGACTGAGGAGAAAACGGGAGGGGAAGGAATGGAGGCAGCAAAGAGAGGCCAGTGCTTCAAGTCAGTTTGCTATAAAAGGATCCTTCTTATTTCCGCCATAAACTAGGAGGGTGACTTGGAACAGGTGGAATGTCAGAGGTTTGAAGAGAAAGCAGTCTGAGATAATTATCTCGTAAAATGAATATGCTAATTTCTTAGGAAAGGGTAATTGAATCCCCCTCCTCCGGTGTTGGCTGCCCACTTGAGGCCTGTGGTCCCACCTGTGAAGCCAACCCGGTGAATGTGAGGGAGCGATTTTCCTCTCGCCCCTGGCTCGCTGTCCCAGTGCAGACACAGGCCAGGCAGGCAGCAGAGAGGGGAGGTTCCAGGCAGGTACGCTGAAGGAGGGGAAGGCATAGGCTGAAGTGTTTGCAAAGGAACAATCACAGTGTTGGACAGAGGAACCCAAACCACGTAAAGGGGGAAGAGGGGACATAGAGACATGGGGCTGGGGTGACAGCCGGGCTGGAGTGGCAGGGTCCCTGGATGGAGGTCCCAGGGGCAGCGGGGAATTGCTGGGGTGAGCGTACTGGTGGAGAAAAAGGAGCTGAGAAGAAGGTGGTGATCAGACTGTGGGGAGAATGAACGAGACAGATCTGGGAGGGCGCGGCTGCTTCCTTCATAGACATTCTGGTAGCTGACGCTACATTAGCTGCCCCGTGGCCCCAGCTAAGTGCATACATGCCTCATGGACTGGTGACGTCAGTCAAAACTGCAGCTTCCGGAGCCTAACCAGATCTTATCTATCTTATCTAACAAGGGGTGGCTCAGTTAGATGGAATGTTGTCCAGATACGCCAAGGTTGTGGGTTCGATCTCTGGTCAGGGCTTGTACAAGAAGCAACCAACGAATGCAAAAATAAGTAGAACAACAAAAATTGATGTTTCTCCTTCTCTCTCCATCTCTTTCTAAAATCAATAAGTAAAAAAATAAAATAAAAATAAAATAAAATAAAATAAAATAAAAAATAAAAATAAAATAAAATAAAAAAAATAAATAAAATTTCGAACTCTGTTGACAACATCCCCTTGGACTTCTCAGCAGAGGCAGAAGCATCACCCCTTCCTGACTCTCTGTGTTGGATGGAGCCCGAGCCTGTGGTCTTGCGGCCTGGGGAAGAAGGGTGTGGTGGGTGGTCTAGAGGAGAAGGTGGTGGTGAGGCAGAGGGGGCCTGCCAGCACAAACAGGCCTAGCCCGACCGAAGACCCTATCTGATGGGAACCACTCATGCACACGGAAGCTTTCAGACTCGGCTATTTTTAAATACCCTCTCACCGGCTCAAAGCAAACAGCAATGGAGACAGCTAGGCGGTCTCCAAAGGAAATTGATTCAGGAAGAAAAACCTCAAATGTTTGAGGGCTCTGGAAAGCAGTCATCCACCGCTCCCTGCAAAGAGATAAGTTCTCTGTGGACACTCCCGGGACCAGCAGGGACAGGCAGCGGGAGGGTGTGGAAATTCCCCGGGGGACTGATCCCCAGGGTGTGGTCCTGATTTGCCTGACTGTAGTGGATTTCCTGCACCGTTTCGAGCCAACCCCGCAAGCACTTTTCTTCCCACCTGCTTCTCACACAGGGACAACTGAAGCACAAGGAAAGGACAACTTTTCAAAGAGCATCCAGAGTTCCAAAGTTGAAAAGACGAGCCAGCTTCCCCACATTGGCTGGCCAGGCACCGAAGGGAGGGACCCCACCCACTGTACTCAGAGCCTCTGCCTAGAAGGGGCGCCACGTCTGGGGCAACGCAGGACAAACACTCTCAACCCTGCCCCATCTGCATCAGGTCGGCATTAGGTCCAGAAATCGAAAGTGGCTTTCAGCATTGTAAGAGGGGAAGAAGCTGTCACAGGAAATTAGAGGTCTACAGGACAATCTGAAGAGTCAGGGAAGTGGATTCGGGAAGGGGTGACTCACAGAACTCATGCTGAAACCACCTGGATTCCAGCAAACTCAGCAGGCGCCTCTTGGAGTGTCCTGCAGCACCTAGGCGGGCGAGTCTCAGGACATCAAGATGTCCTCTGTCTGCTCCTCTGTCTGCTCTTCTGCCTGCCACCACCGCTGGGAAATAACAGCTTCACTTGCTGTCATGGACAGAGTTGTGTCCCTTCAAAATTTGTATCTTGAAGCTCGAGCCCCCCATACTTCAGAATGTGACTTCAGAGATTGGTTCTTGAAAGAGGTAAGTAAGGTAAAATAAAGCCACAATCTAGTATGAACTATGTCCTTCTACGAAGAGGAGATTAGGACACAGACACACACAGAGGAGAGAACAAGTGAAGACACAGGGAGAAGCCAAGGAGGGAAAGCTCAGGAAAAACCAGCCCAGCTGACACCTTGATCTCGGACATCCACTCTCCAGAAGCGTGAGAAAATGCATCTGCTATTGGAGCCCCCAGTCTGTGGAACTGCGTGGCAGCCTGAGCAGACTAAGACACGTGGTTTTCCTCTTTAATCCGCTTCTCCCTCTACCCCTAAATCTTAAAGCATCCAGCTGGAAGTGACTTTAAGATTTCACTTCTGCTCACATTTCTTTGGCCAAAATGAGTCACATGGTCAAACTGAACCTCTGAAGCTAAGGAAGTGCACGCTGACCATGTGCCCAGGAGCAGAGGAGAATGGGAGTGTTCATCAACAGGACACTAACGACCACCGCCATTCTTCCCCCCTCCTCACCCAGAGCAGCCTGCAGAACCCCGTAGGCCTGTGACCCTAGGGACGCCTTAGCCCGCAGACTGTGATAG